TCCTCCTCTCCTCCCTCCTCTCCTCCTCCTCTCCTGCCTCCTCTCCTCTCCTGCCTCCTCCTCCTCCTCTCCTCCCTCCTCCCTCCTCCTCTCCTCTCCTGCCTCCTCTCCTCCCTCCCTCCTCCTCCTCTCCTGCCTCCTCTCCTCTCCTGCCTCCTCCTCCTCTCCTCCCTCCTCCTCCTCCTCTCCTCTCCTGCCTCCTCTCCTCCTCTCCTCCCTCCTCTCCTCTCTCCTCTCCTGCCTCCTCTCCTCCCTCCTCTCCTCCCTTCTCTCCTGCCTCCTCTCCTCTTCTGCCTCCTCTCCTCCTCTCCTGCCTCCTCTCCTCCTCCTCTCCTCTCCTGCCTCCTCTCCTGCCTCCTCTCCTGCCTCCTCTCCTCTCTCCTCTCCTGCCTCCTCTCCTGCCTCCTCTCCTCCTCTCCTCCTCCTCCTGCCTCCTCTCCTCCTCTCCTGCCTCCTCTCCTGCCTCCTCTCCTGCCTCCTCTCCTCTCTCCTCTCCTGCCTCCTCTCCTGCCTCCTCCTCCTCCTTCCTCCTCCTCCTCTCCTCCTCCTCTCCTCTCCTGCCTCCTCTCCTCCTCTCCTCTCCTGCCTCCTCTCCTCTCCTCCTCTCCTGCCTCCTCTCCTCCCTCCTCTCCTGCCTCCTCTCCTGCCTCCTCTCCTCCTCCTCCTCTCCTCTCCTCCTCTCCTGCCTCCTCTCCTCCTCCTCTCCTGCCTCCTCTCCTCCTCTCCTCCTCCTCTCCTGCCTCCTCTCCTCCTCCTCTCCTGCCTCCTCTCCTCCTCTCTCTCCTGCCTCCTCTCCTCTCCTGCCTCCTCTCCTCCTCCCTCTCCTGCCTCCTCTCCTCCCTCCTCTCCTGCCTCCTCTCCTCCCTCCTCTCCTCCCTCCTCTCCTCCCTCCTCTCCTGCCTCCTCTCCTCCTCCTCTCCTGCCTCCTCTCCTCCCTCCTCTCCTCCTCCTCTCCTGCCTCTCTCCTCCCTCCTCTCCTCCTCCTCTCCTGCCTCCTCTCCTGCCTCCTCTCCTGCCTCCTCTCCTCTCCTCTCCTCCTCCTCTCCTCCTCTCCTCTCTCCTCCTCTCCTCTCCTGCCTCCTCTCCTCCCTCCTCTCCTGCCTCCTCTCCTGCCTCCTCTCCTCCCTCCTCTCCTGCCTCCTCTCCTGCCTCCTCTCCTCCCTCCTCTCCTCTCTCCTCCTCCTCCTCTCCTCTCCTCCTCCTCTCCTCCGCCTCCTCTCCTCTCCTGCCTCCTCTCCTCCCTCCTCTCCTGCCTCCTCTCCTCCCTCCTCTCCTCCTCCTCTCCTCCTCCTCTCCTCCTCCTCTCCTGCCTCCTCTCCTCTCCTCCTCTCCTGCCTCCTCTCCTGCCTCCTCTCCTCCTCCTCTCCTCCTCCTCTCCTCCTCCTCT